AAAATCAACTGTAAGGAGTCCAAACTTTGAAATCAACTATGATTTGTTGTCACGAGGCAGTTTCACTGACACAATGTCATGTTCGTGACATCAAAATGGTTACTTCAGGGAATACGAGTATTAGCTTGAGAAGCGTTTTCTTGTCATTGGCATACAAGCAATCCTCCTCCTACTACTACTACTACTAGCACACTGGCACTGCGTTTGTGGATCCCATTGTATTTGACATCATACTAGAGCCAGGAAGAGTGTCGTAGAGTTTCACATAATTTTCACAGGGATAAAAATACATTTCTCATGAAATAATTATAATTGATGATAGCTAGACGATCGTATACGATTGCATATTGATGCAAAGTCCTTGCAGTCCTTGAGGACTATTAGTATTACGAAGTGGTTGATTACTTATAGGGCATTCATTCAAGCAAAGCAACATCAAACAAACGCGATACGCTCCTTGAAAATGGAAAACAATTCAAGCATAACGACAGAACAGCAGACCAATCGAAACGAGTAAAAGCTTCCTTACCTCAGTCATCGTCCTGCCATGTAGTAGAACAGCCTTTTGACACGGTGGTACAGGCTGCTCTTGTCCAGTCAAACAGGGGTATCCTTGTGGCGTCGAACGAAAGAGAGTCAGCTGACTCGTCCGATTTGAACTGTGCTGAACTTTTCTCGTTTAGCAATTTCTGCTTTCATCCCGCGCACTGATGAAATCTTCAGAGAACCGCAAGACGCTTTCCAGATTTGATTTTGAACGTCTCCTTATCCTCCTGGGTTACCTCGAGAGAGATTACTGTCAGCAACTGCACAGAAGAACTGGCAGCCAAGGCTGAAGTGAAGAAAGGAATGCGCTACCACGAGGCAAGCAAAACTGAAGCTGATGATGTGTTTGTTCTCTTTCGGGCATGCACATCACACAGGACGGCGTGACTGGATAAACTGGACTCCTGGACTGTGAATAGGGGACTTGTAGATAAAGTGTACTCCTTATAGGCCAGAGTATATGGCCCGATATCTGAGACTTTCGACCTTCGGGGCTACGCGGTTTTTTGGGCAAACACTAAAAACAAATTTGTTCGCAAAAAAATCGAATCTGTCGAAGCAAAGTGCCGAGACGACAATGGCGGAAGGAAATGGAAGGCGATTCTTGTGTCAGTTGGTTATTGGGCTCACGGAGCACAGCAGCCGCGATCCCATGGACCGTGATGCATTGTTCTTTGTGGATATCCTGTCAAGCGGCGACAGCGCTTCTAGTTCTGAGAGCGCATTTCAGTCGAATCGATCGCAAGTGACACGCGGTACTTACCTGTCGGGGGCGACGATGATGAGGACTTGGCCTGGATGAGTATGATCAAGGCCAACCACAGTCTGCCTCAGCGATAGCTGCTACAGCCCCACTGAGTAAGGACAACCAGGTGGATTCCTGAGGGTACGCCGCTTGCAAGGTCGCTGGCCGCCCTTGCGCGGGTGGCAGAACTGTTTCCTGAGTGTCACGCCAGACCTGCTAAAACAGCACGAAATGATGCGAGTTTTCTTTGCGACGATGATCCTAAAATGTTTTGGATGGCAAGCTCAATACTCGAGCTGATAATGGCGAATCAGACCATCACGGAGCACATGAAACTGGGCTACCTCGAGTAACATTCTGTTACTTTTGAGTGGTGGTATGAAACGCTTATCAGGCTGTGTTGCTGATGTTTGGAAATGGTCAGTCTCCACAAAGTGCAACAAGGCGAATCTGGACGCATTTGCTCTGTTTGACTCCTTCACAATAAGTATGTGAATGCTGTTACATGTATGATGGTATTCGTCAAAATCTGTTGCAGACTATCCTGTCAAGCATATCCATCACCAGGAGAACAGATACATCACCTCTCCTTCTAATGCTGCTATTGGTGCTGTTGCAACTACACCACCTCAATAAAGTCACGGAATGCTGGAAATGAAGTACCCGAACAGTCAAAACCCTTTACTATATTAGTTGGCTATTGATATCACATGGAAACAATTTTTGGTGGCTCCAAACACACTGATCTTTCAAAGTTGTAAAAAACAACAACAATTCATTGACATGCCTCCTGAATGTAAAATGCACTTCTACATGGTCAATATTGGTCTGATGTCACAATACTCTACAAAGGCTAGACATCAATTTGCATTAAAAAAATAAATTTCACCAAAACAGCCCCGAAGGTCGATTTTCTCAGATATTGGGCCATATTACCCTGGGGTTATATACTCTTGATAACCCTGGGTTATGTACTCTTGTTATAGGGGATTGCGCGGCAGGATGAAGCTGGTCAAAACTGAGTGGACTCCTGGACTCTGTATAGTGGATTTTGGACCAATGGACTCTATATAGGGTGCTGGACATCGTAAAGTGCATGGACTCTATACTGAGTCTTACATATAAACAGTCAGAAAGTGCAACAACTAGGCACACAACTGACAAGAGTAGTGAGACATTCGACGTCCTGACACCTAGCTTCAACACAATTCCGTAGCGCTAACCAACAGCCTTCCCCTTTCTTTATTTATCTTTGATATTTATGACCCACACAAGTTGGGTGGTGTGCTGCTTTGCTGTTTCGAATTGTAGTTAGACCGCTTTGTCAAATATCGTACTGGTCTCGTCATCGTATAGTAACAATCGACATTCTTTGTTCCGTTGGGACTGTAGCTTTTGCTCGTTTTCGTTGCGCTTGCCTTCCCCTCTTTGGTCTTTCCATAACCTTGAACCTTCCAAGTTGGAAGGCTGTCGGTTAGCGCTACGGAGATGTGTTGAAGCTAGGTGTCAGGACGTACAATGTCTCACTACTCTTGTCAGTTGTGTGCCTAGTTGTTACACTTTCTGACTGTATATATTATCCAGTTACAGTGTAGGAGAGTTACTCTTAACTCGTATCCTTATGTCCTTTTCCTTTCCACAATTATTATTATTCTCAATTCATTGATGACATGGTGTCAACAAATATTATAAATGAGGGCTACCAGCCATGGAATAAAAGAACAAGAAGGCAAAAATGCACACCCAAAATATGGCCAGTTAAATGAAAATGAAAACCTCTCGATGGGCGAACAGCCTTTGGTGAATCATAAAAGAAATAAAAGAAAGTAAGACCTACTGTCCAGTACTCTCTGTCTCTCTCTCTGTCTCGCTTTCTCCGAGTCTCCCCCCCCCCCCCCACCTCACAAGTCTCTCTACCTCATATGGAAAACCAGGAAATTCGCCATATCATTAATTTTTGTTTCCTTATATCACATCCTGATACCTGATTATTTTCGTTTTCTGTCCTACCTATCTTTTCTTTCATTTGGTGCTTGGTCCTGCAGCTGAACGTGAGACACATAGTCGGAGGAGGTAGGCCCAGTTCATCAGCAGGCTGCTCCGGCTTCTCGCTGTATTGTCAGGTCTCCATCTTCTTCCTGTCTTCCCAATCTGTACTCGGAAGGTCTGTGCACTTCAGTGCTAATAATTTAACCCTTTAAGAGCCGCCCCATACTTGAATGCGTCGTAAACGACGCATTCAAGTGCAAAACTTCAAAAGATCGTAACTCAGTCCAATCTCGCTCAAATCCAGTGATCGAAATATCCAGGGCGAAGAGAAAACTCTCACCTGTCGGGAGAATCAATCCGCGAAGCGCTGCGAGCAACGGTTCCTGAGATAAATCACTCGTAAGTTGAGCCGCGATCGCGGCAAGTTCAAAAGCGCGCAGTGCGGCTTTAGTATTGAGAATTTTGAGACTTTTCGTCGCGCTGGTTTACTCGAATTTTCACGGGTTTCACTGCTGATATTGTCAAGAGTACACAGCGAAAAAATTGGAACTCCACGATCGAGTAAAATGAAATATCTGGAGCGGGACGCAATTGGACGCATTTGGGACATTTTTCGTACTGTCGCTGCGATCTAGCGCTGGATAGACGGTGTGCTGGTTATCATGATCTACCTCATTCTCTTCCTCTCGCGGAGACCTTTCCAGGAAGCACTAGATTGTGAGGATTGAGTGAGTAGAACTGAAGCTATGATCCAAGGAACACGAAAAAATTCAGAATCTTGAACTTTTCCTGTGGCTCTTAAAGGGTTAAAACTAAAATTAAGGTCCTACCCCTGTAAGAGTGCAAATGTATGCTCCAATATTTCGACTACCAAATTACGCCGATAATCATGCTGCCCTATTCCGCGTAGCCTCTTGCTTATAGCCAGCGATGCTCTACCCCTAGTCTACATGTTTGGTGCAGCCGTAATCTGTAAATACCTAGGTTGTTAGGACAAGAACACGCACTGTGGACCATGGTTTGTGGACAGTGTTATAGTACTACAGTAGCAGGGCTACCATCACGCCATAAACTTTTTCCGTACCCACGAGCTTTGCAAAGCCGATATTTTGATAATGTACCGTGAGACATGCACTGATGGTACCACCACTTCGTAGAATGCCTCCCGTTCATTTCTGTGCTCCTGTCCTTATTCTCGTCAGCTGTGTACTTCAGCAGTTTAATTCCGTGCTCCAGTCCTCATTAGTCTCGTGAGTTTGTGTACTCGTTTTGCTGTTTGTTTGGTTTATTTGAATTCGCACAATAACTTCAGCTATTCTCTCCTCCCTCTTCTGAGTTTGACCCATCCCCGGCCTTACATTGTCTTGGGCCTCTGCAAACCCCCCCCCTCCCCACCACCATCACCACCCAACGCACACACTACATTGTCACATGGCACAACTCAACCATTCGCTGCCAAAATAATATCAATCAATTAATCAATCAAATGATAGTTCAATGATTTTTTCTTTACACACCGACACTTACGCTTTCTGTGATTCCATACCGGCTGTTGCAATGCAGCCCCCAAGAGTTCCTAAATGAAGTAAACTGTTTTCTAGCACCCTTTTTCTGTGGAGGTTTTCTCATGATGACGATTGTAAAAGAACAAAAGTGGTGAGTTTTGACAGCACTGTCGAAGTTACCTAAACCTAATCCGTTGTGTTAGATAATGTCTTACCGACTGGTTGCGCGCCACTGGTTCGGGCACACCCATAATTAAGGTAGACCAAAATCCCAATGTACAGCCACAGCTGTACCGGTATCTGCAAAGCAGCCATCCGTGTCTCGGTGTGGAACGTCTGCAAACCTGGTCACTCGTCACTTTGCTCAGAGAAGTATGTCTGCGAACGTACTTCTAACGTCTCTATGCTCAGGGAAGTAAGTAGCCTTCACCTACTATTGAAAACATTACGCTTTTAGTTGTGCAAGAGACTTCGAGCTACATGTAGGTAGTCCTGATTTCTCGTGATGTCCGTGGTACAAAGAAGTACGATGAGCCCTTCGTGACCAGCTTTGTGTGTCACCTGCTAGTACAACAGTGGAGAGTACACGACGTATTAGCACATCTCTCGTTTGCTTCCTCCTTAACAGCTTATTACCACCTGCTTGGTTTTGTACCAACAGAAATGAAGGTGAAAGATCTGTCCGCTTGCATTCGTTCTCATCATCGTCTGTCATGTACTGTTCGCGTGATTTCGTGCAAAGTACTGGCCCCATACTCCTACTACTACTGTTGCTTGTTAGCTTCAATGCACATTTCGTTTGTTTTGCATACACTGCACAGTGATATCTGGCGTGCATGAGTCACCCTGCAGATGTCAGGAGTTCTCACTGGAGTGCAACAGAGAAAGAGAACGGAACAGGTCGGCTGCCCTGCGCAGAAATTGTGACGTAGAGCATACTACATCTAACTACGAATTAGGGACTGGTCAGCCTGCTTCGAGCAGGAACTGTTACTGTGACGGATACCGTGTGAAAAGGAGCAGCTGCGGTGCAGCTGCCCATCCTCCATATCCCCTGTCTAATATGTTTGATTACCAGCAGATGGTTCAATGGTCTGCTTTAACTGCGCAGATGACACTGCATTCCATGCGAGTAGCTCGCCAGCAGCGTAGCTGATCAGGTGGCAGTCACTTGCGTGTAAATCCAGGTACTGTAAAAGCATGCAGTTGGGCGAGTCCTGCACATTGCAGATCAATGTGTCCATGCTTGCTCCAACCAAGACCGTGCTTTTTTTACAAAGACCACTTAAGGTAGCAGCGTACCCCAAAATTCAATGACAAATCTAATTTGTAAATTCATATCGCGTGCTGCATCATGTGAAAGAACATGAATAGCTGGAAAACCTGCGAAACTTTTGTCTCGAACTGACCAGCCGTTCAAGAGTGATGGCTCAAAACGTGCCCTTGCATGGAAAGATTTTTTTTGTTGCACGCTGTTAATTTTTGGCAGCACTGTATTTAAATGTGAGAAGACCATGCGCAACTTGTCGTATCATGGAAACACGCAAAAGTGTGCAGTATTTTGCTCCAAAACCAAAAAAGTCCAAAAATTACGTTTTTTGGACTGCACGGTGGCGGGCTTTGCCCGCCGCTCTCCAGCAGGACTTTTGCCAGCATACTCGCGACGTTGCAGCGCTGTGGAAATGGCTTGCTGTGGAGGTCACAGCACTGGATGTTGTATCGAAGGTACGACCTCGTAGCATGTGCTAAACCAAAAAATATCCAAAATTGACCTGCGTCTGTGGGAGTCTATGAGAGAACGCCCACTCCTGCCGTTATGACAGATTCCAGGGCCACGTTGAGGGCCCCTATCTCACCACCCATGGCTGCTTCTGGACTTGTTTTAGGTTTGGATCCCGCGCACAGACTGAATGGCCACGAAAATGTTAAAAAAAATTTAAATGCATTGTTTTGGGTCCTGGGTGGCTCGCATACCGTGGCGCTATGCCGAAATTCTGACTTTTTCCGGCCAGGAAAGCCTTTCATTGAGGCGGAAGAACGTTTCAATAATGTCCACTGGGCCAGCATAGTGGCAGGATTGTGTAGCGAGAATTGCAATCAAATCCATTGAGAGACACCAGAGTTACGGTCAATTGGATGCCATTTGAAATTAATGGGTAGGCTGCTACCTTGATTGCCAATCATGAGATGCAGCTAGGGGGAAGAACGCACAACCGGAATCGTGGATGTGGTTGTGAGGTTTAGGGACCTCTGCCAACCTAGGGTCTCGACTTCATGGCCACCTAGACGCAACAACGACTGGTTGAGTTGCACTCGTTCGCGCACACCTACAACTGAGGTAGACCAAATTTCCGATGTAGAGCCATAGCTGTGTATGGAAGCATGCAAAACTTCTGCAAACTTCTTCACTCCACCATGTTATCAGAACAATAACCTGCACCTACCTTTGACGGCATTACTCTATTGAGTTGAACAAGAAATTTGGAGCTACAGTAGAATCTGTAACTAAAGACCAGCGTGATTGGCGACTAGCCTTGTACTACAGATCACTTTGCCTGGCCCAGATGGTCTCACATTCATCATGCGATGAAGTGCAAGTCTCTAACTAAGGACCAGGTGCCACTAAAGACCGCTTTATCTGGCCCTTAGGGTGGTCGTTAGTCACAGGTGTTAATGTACATGTAAGTACAGTCAACTTCGCTAATAACGACTGCGGATATAACAACAATTCGCGAATAAGGACCAAATTTTCATGCCCAGAGCAAAGTCCCATCTACCTGTAACCATACGACTTCGGATATAACGACGATCTGAATAACGACAGTTCGCAAATAGCGCAGGCGCGTGCTCGGCGAAAGGCACGGGGGGCGCGTGCACCCCCAAAAATTTTCAATCTGGGTAATTGCAATTGTAATGTATGCAAATATGCTCTAAAATTCCAGAAAGGTTGCAAACAAATTCCAGAAAATTGCCGGGGGGGCCCTCGGCTCCCATGCACCCCCCTAGATGGGGGGCCGAGCACGCCCCTGTAGCGACATGCCTTTTAGTGTCCGGAGGTCATATACACTGCTAGTCATTATTCAGCTGACCTCCGCGATCCGAAAAAGTGTGATCTGCACTCCGTAAACAGCTTTGCTTCCTGTTTGACAGCTTCTTATCGCCTGCTTGCCTGGTCGATTCGCAAATAATGATGATTTTCAATGGACATGATGCCATGCGATTGCTGGATATGCAGAGAACGTGCATGGAACAGGTCAGCTGCCCTGGGCCCCAATTATGACGTGGAGCACACTAACTGAGAGATAGAGACTGGTAAGCCTGCCTTGAACAGGAACTGTGACCGGCTGTGTTTCAGAAGAAGCAGCTGCGGACCAGCTGTCTATCCTCAATGTCCCACGCTCATTTTAGTACGTGCAAGAAATACTTAGTTACGATTGTATCATGCTTGATTACAAGCGGATGTTTCAATGGCCTGCGCAACTGCACCATCTACCCTTGCAAGAAGCAGCCTGTTGCGCAATTCAGATGACACTGCGTTCCTTGTGAGCAGCTCGCCAACAGCATACCTAATCAGGTGGTAGTCACGGGAGCGTAAAACCAGGTGTTGTACAAGTGTCGTGTCCGTGTGTTGCTATCTGTATTGTATTCCGTCTGCTCCTACATGTATCTTTGTCAAGTGTTTGCCGTGGCGTCGATGTGTCTCGTCTATGAATAGCGTTGGGAAACCTATCACTATTCATGCTTTGCTGGCTGGCTGCTCGCGCCCTTCGCTCCTTCAGCTTGCACGCTACTAGGACATAACAGCAGTATATAGCTCGATGCTTTGCTTCGAGAGGTTGTTGTTGTTCTTGTCGCTTCTCTGTTGCTTGGAACTTGGTCCTGGAGTGAAGCTTTGGTCTTCTTGTGTGGTGAGGGTGAGGAATGGGTATCTGGGCTCCTGGTATATTTCCGTAAAGAACCTGGAATCGTAGAATCCTGATAGTATGTCTGGCCCACTCCCCGGTCATTTAGAAAAGCGATCCTGTCAGCTTTTCTATTATTGTGTTCACATGGCAGAAAAAACGACACCGCTATGCTACGTAAGTTTCTACGTAAGGTGCTCGGTACTTCACTTAGGCTACGTAAGTTTCTACGTAAGGTGCTCGGTATTAGATCTACCAACGGGTGGTAGCCGCGTGCTGTGCACGTGCACGGCAGACATTGTGTTGCATGCAATGCAGTCCGTTTTCGGATGTGCATGCGCGAGGAACTTCCTTCTTTGGAACTGCTTCTTGCATGAGCTGTTTCGGATATTTCGTGTCCTGGCTTATTTCGCTTCGGCTCTGCTGAGACCTCTTTTCACGGAATATTACTCAATGACAGGTGAGTTGACCAGTTCCCTTTGATTCATTAGCTTGTGTTGACTCTTTCATTTACGAAAAGTGTGCTGATTTTAGGTGGAATACAATAAATAATGGAAAAGCTGACAGGATCTCTTTTCTAAATTTAGCTTTTCTGCTGTCGAGGCCTCCTTTTACGGAATACTCAATGACAAGTGATCTCTGAGTTGACCAGTTTCCTTCGATTCATTTGCTTATGCTCACCCTTTCATTTACGGAAACGTGTGCTGATTTTATTCGGATTTAGATCCATTCGTATCTCTTTGCCCTTGCCAACAGTGTGCGAAGAACGCGAGTTCACCTTCTTGACGGTAAGGCTTACATTGTATGTTGCTGCTGAGGCTTAGATGTGTTGTCGAAATACTCATGTTCATTGTACATTGGTACGTTACAAGTAAGGCACTGGTCATGATTGCTTCCGGCATTCCGTGCCCCGATCATAGGGTAGAATCTGAATTTTGCAGTGGCATAGCATCGTTGGCAGTTCCCAATCTGTAGGGGAAGGTTCAAGGACGCATTGGCCCAGGACTAGTATGCAAGATAAATTCGCATATCAGGGAAAATCTCCATTATGGAGAGGTTCATGCATTCAGTGACTTGTTTGCTTCATACGAAACAAGCCAATAGGGAGGCTCTGCTATACGTGAAACGTAGAGAAATCACGTAGAGAGCAGGTGTCTGGGTTAGAGTCTACGGCTTCGCGTGTTTTGGCTCCAGATTTCTACGCGGAGATGGGGTTCTCTACGTTGTGGCACACGCAGAGAAAATTTGCTGGGTATCGATCAACTGCATGCAGAAAACTGCCAAATATGGAAGGGAAAATTCCCAGTACACATTCCACGTGACTTCTCTAGGTGAAACGTAGAGCAGAACAGCATTTCTTTACGTTACGGGAACGCGA